ATTTAGCACTATTTACTTCAATTTCCTTTAGTAGAAACCTGATTTTCTTAGTTAATTTCCCAGCCAAGCCAAGAAATAAATAAAAAAAGGATAAAGAATCTTTGTAGTTGAAATAAAAAAGTTATGTAGACGTTTCTTAATCAAAATATGGTAGGCCGCTTGGCGCTTACCCAACTCAATTTTGTCGTTGGATTATGATATTAATCTTATTTGACATTTGTTGATTACGATATTACTCTTATTGGATATTCTTAATAAAAAAGTATGCATGGTCGTAGGCTGTAAAACTTGTCATTTTGGTCATGGTAATTATATAACGCATCGGGTTGAAAATCCGACAATAATTTATGATTTTTCCATTACTTTAATTTTTTTTAGATCACAGTCGACAAATAGATACTACTCTTATAATGTTGTTTAAAGTAAAGATTCATATATAAGATAAATGATGAAAGTCGAGTTTGGTATAACAATTGCACTCAAAATGTCTAGTTGTATTCTCGTACTTCTTTTGAAAGATCAATCAGAATATATCTTAGTTCTTGAATCAACATTTTCACATATTTCTTAAAGTATTTTCAAGTATCGAACACTCACATTGCAATTATCAACTCTACATTGAAGTTAGAACCATGTCATAACTTCGTCTCGAAATGAGACAAGCGAATTTAATGATTAAAATTTGTTATTGAATTATATGTTGGATTGACTGCTCATATTTCCATCTCATTTCAAAATTCATTTCACAAATCATCTACAAGCTGCACAAAATCTCATGCTCGCTCATCCAAATTTTGTATAAAATTCCCTAATAAAATAGGCTTAGACTTTGTTTGGGAGTGATTTTTCACCTAAAAAATTATTTTTTGATCGTTATTTCACTATTTCAATGGACATTTTTGATTTCTTTACTCATAGGTAGTCCCACTTTTCTTCGATCCAAAAATCAATTTTCAAAATCATTACGGAAGGCATCCTTAATCCCCTTGAACAACGTCTTTGAATAGAACAAGGATTCAAATTTCCAAAATACCCTTAAAAAACTTTTACGTAAACAAATTTTGACCCGTCCTGCAAACACTATTTTGTCATTTCACTAACTATTTCACAGTCACCCACCCCACAAACTGACATTACCTTCCCCACGCCCACACCCCTCACGAATTTCCAATCACTATGTTCCCAGTTTGCACCCCACTGCGCACGTTAGTTGTCTTCACAATCATTATGTGCAAACCATGCATTTAAGTCACGCTCGCTGCCCCCTCTGCTTAACCTACGCACCCTCCTTCTTCCCACTCTATATTATCACTGACCACTGCATTTAATGAATCTGCAAATTGAAGTTTTAACCTATAAATACACCATTCTGTATCAATAGCTGATCCGTGAATCAATGCAATTACGCTCACTGTACCAATAAAGTTTCAATGAATCGAGGTGACGCCGATTGGAGATCAATTAAGAGAGAATAAAGATTTATTAAGAATAGGGTTTAGTTGTGTATATTAATTATATAGTGTACTGAGAATCTCTTTATGTCATTTTTTGAACAAAGCTTTAAAATCATCGCCCAATCGATCTCCGATCGGGTGAAGTATCCCAGTTTGAATCCCACATTTTCTGTCTATAAAACGCCGTCGTTTCAGAGATCGGAGATTTTCATGTGAAATGAGCTGATTTTGTTGGTGGGTTTGATTGGTAGTGAGGATGAATCCACTTTGCTGCATTGCTCCGGTGTCGATCGAAAAAGATCGAGCTGTAGTGAAGCCGCAAACCCTCAGTCCAGAGCTAGGGTTTGATAATAAGAACGTGAATGATGCTAATGATAATGCGATTTTGAGGCCTGTGTGTTTTCACTCTCGGAGGAGTTTCTCAGCTGGAAATGATGTTTCGTCGTCAAATGCGACGGACTTGCGCCTGTCCGAGAAGGAAAAATGTGAGGAAAGTAATGAAGTCGGGGATTCGAAGAGTGTGGTTGGGGTTTTGTACAAGTGGGTGAATTACGGGAAGGGGTGGAGGGCGAGGTGGTTTGTGTTGGAAGATGGGGTTCTGTCGTATTATAAGGTGCACGGTCCGGACAAGATCGTGATGAGTCCCGGGAGAGACAAGGGAGCGAGGGTGATTGGGGAGGAGAGCTGGAGATATATGAGGAAAGCTGGTAGCGGTAATGGGAGCGGCCATGGTTACCGCGGTAACGGATTCAGTTCAGAGAGACAGTGGAAGCCGTTTGGGAAAATACACTTGAAGGTTAGTTCCTTTAGCTTGGATTTATATATGAATTTGTGTATATTTTGTGCATGCCATTGCCATTATTATAGATATGTAGACTTAACTGTTGTGGTTGGTTTTCCATAGCTCTGTGTGAATAAACTGGTGAAGAAAAGTTATGATAATGGCATTTTCAATATGCATATTTCAATGGAAGTGTTCATGATGAGGCAAAAGGATGAAGGCTTCCTTTTGTGGCCTGCTTACTTTATTTCTGTGTCTGGAATATTTCAATTTGTGTCATTTTGTGGGGTTTTAATTCGTCTTGGACTATTTGGTTCTTCAAAGGAAGCCTATGGGTTGAAAAGTATACTGCGCTAGCTATATGTCACCTGGAACTTATCTTCTAAAAAGTGGAAACATGGGATTAGAAGTTGAAAGCAATAGAATTCTAGTTTATTAATGTCAATTTACAGATTGTATAACTATGCTTGATATTTATTTAAAAAATGTATACAGGAAAATAAATTACGTCATATCTAAGTATGGATATGAAGGAAAAAGCTAAAAATACCCTCTTCAAATTAGGAAATTTACCTTTTTCAGTCTACTGTATGAATCAGATCAAAACTGGAAAAAGTTTTTAACTTTTTGTGGTGTGAGGAGAATGGCTGTGAAGAAGTGAATTGAAACATCAACCTTCCACTTTCCAGTCTGTCATTTGAGACAAGGGTATGGCACGGAAATTCAATGTATGCTGGGTACATTTTTAAGCAACTATAGCGGATATGTGTAACCACTGTTTTGTATGCCTTGCTGCGAAAAGTCTCCAGTTGATTTTGATTTCCTATTAATGCCTAAACATAATATCCTTGAAATATCTGCTGCAAAGTTTGTGCATTGCGAACTCTGGATTTTTACTTGTACTGAACGGACATTGTCATATGATACTGGACTTATTGTAATAAGATAAGTATTCTAGTTCTACAATCATGATATTTCCTAATCTTGTAGCCTGCTAAATGCCTAACGATATGTTCAACAGGTTTCTTCAGTTCGAGCCAGCAAGTCAGATGACAAAAGGCTTTCAATATTCACAGGAACAAAAACTCTCCATTTGCGTTGTCAATTCAAAGAGGACAGAGCTGCATGGATTGAAGCCCTTCTAGTTGCCAAGGACAAATTCCCTAGAGTATTGACAAGCAACGACTTTGAACCTTCTGAAGAATTTGTTGTTTCTACAGAGAAGCTACGATCACGATTAATACAGGAAGGCTTGAGTGAGACTGTAATAAAAGATTGTGAGTCTATAATGCTCTCTGAACTTGGCGAGATGCAGAATCAGTTGAAGGCTCTTCAACTGAAACATATTTTGCTGATGGACACCTTAAGGCAATTAGAGGTGTTTATTTCATTCTTGTTTTTGCATGCATTTGACTTGGATTAATTGATTTCTGATTAACAAGCGTAGAGATCACATGTGATTATCTTGATTGGAGCTTTCACTTTCCTTTATGTGCCCCTTATTGCTCAAAGTTTTAAGTTGAAATACACTGCAAAATGTTTTTGTTCCATCCTCTATCGAAAAAATTTCACTTTGTTTTCATGTAATCATATGTGTCTCGTGAACTGAGTTGATCAGTTTGGTATGAATCTATGTATGTCATAGATGTAATTGCATTCTGAACTTTGATGGATCATTCTATCTGTCAGAACATTATAGCCTGTTGCATTACATCATGTCCTGCTTTATACTTCTGTTACTCATTGTTCCCCTCACACATGTGCTCCTGGAGCCTTGAAATTTAAGGAGTATGATACCATAGTTTTTATGCAGACCGATAAAATTGAGTTGGAAACAACTGTAGTTGACGAAACTAAGGGAAGAGATTCATGCTGTGGACAAGGGAATAGAAGATATAGCGGTCAGTGGGATGTTTTATTCAAGTTTAAATTGATGAGTAACATAATTTTTGCCATATGCTTATGTTCTGCAAGAAATTTGAATGGCTAATCCGTCTTTATGTAACCATCACAGATTTTTATTCAGTTATGTCAGAGGGCAGTGCAAGTGAGTCAGATGCAGATAATGAAAGCCGATACGGAGTCGATGTTGAAACGGACGAAGAGGATGGAACCTTTTTTGACACAAATGACTTTTTGTCTGCAGAGTCTTTGAGAAGTGCTTCCTATAAAAGTAGAGAAAATAATGGCTATCCTTCCAGACCTTGGACTTCTGATAATGAATACTTTTCTGACCGTGCAAGAGAATTTAGAACAGAAATAAAGGAAATTCAATATCCATACATAAAAAGAAGAGATAGCTTACCAGAGCCAAAGGAGAAAGACAAGCCAGTAGGCCTATGGTCCATAATTAAGGATAATATTGGCAAGGATTTGTCTGGTGTTTGCCTTCCTGTTTACTTCAATGAGCCTCTATCCTCATTGCAGAAATGCTTTGAAGATTTGGAATATTCGTATCTAGTTGACCGAGCATTGGAATGGGGAAAGCAGGTCAGCTACTCAGCCATGTTTCTTTTGTGGCAATGAAGTTTCTTAATAACCATGATCTGCTAGTTGCATAAAATTTCAGGTTGTTGATGTGCACTAAGATGTTGAAACATTGTTTTCTGATGATAATGCAACTAATTTTGACCTCCTTTCTTAGGACAATGAGTTAATTTCTGGGAGGGATGGAGTAATTAATTTTTCTTAAAATATTTGGATAGGCTTCAATTTTGTGGATAACGAATTGTGAACTTTAAAAATGTAATACAATGTTGTGTGATCCTGCTGTAAAGTGTACAAATGTCATCTCTTCTCATGGCCTGCCGCCTTACTCTCTTTTCCTCTATCAAAATTCTCTCTCTGTTTCATGTCTTCATTCCTAGATTGGATCACACTGTAATTGGGAATTGTAACCCTTTTTTTTTTTTCCTGTTTACCAATAATTAAAAATAATATATTACCTTCTGCAGGGAAATGATTTGATGAGAATTCTAAATGTAGCAGCTTTTGCTGTGTCTGGTTATGCGTCAACTGAAGGTCGGCAGTGCAAACCCTTTAATCCTCTACTTGGGGAAACCTATGAGGCTGACTATCCAGATAAGGGTTTACGTTTCTTCTCTGAAAAGGTTGGTCTACTTCTGTCTTCTTCCTTGGCATTTTAGAGTTCTGCTACATTAACACCTAGGGTGACCGAATGCCCTCGTGTCATTCTGTCATTGGTTCTGTCAATTTCTCAATTTCTCTCTCAGGTAAGTCATCATCCAATGACTGTTGCTTGTCATTGTGAGGGCGGCGGTTGGAAATTTTGGGCAGATTCTAATCTCAAGGGCAAGTTTTGGGGACGATCCATTCAGCTTGATCCCATGGGGATTCTTACCCTGCAGTTTGAAGATGGTGAGACATTTGAGTGGAGCAAGGTCACTACTACTATATACAATATCATAATTGGTAAAATTTATTGTGATCATTATGGTACAATGCGCATCAAAGGCAGTGGTAACTATTCCTGTAAGCTCAAATTCAAGGAGCAGTCCATTATAGACCGAAACCCACATCAGGTACATTTCATGCTTTTTAACCACAAATATTTGAAGTTAGTTTCTGAAGCCAAGCCCTCCAGTTTTATGTTGTTTTCTTACTTCATTTTCTCAACTCTTAAGGATATATTATATATACAATCATGCTACATGTACATCAAGACTTACATAATAATTTATATAATGTCACATGACACTCTATCAATAGACAGTATAAAACACAATCAACTTTTTCATTCAATCATTTCCCTCTAACTCATCTCCTGGCACTGCTTATGGACAATTTCTTCTAGCAAAGTAGATTAATTCTTGTATATATTGTGGCTGGACACCTATGGTGGAATATGTAAATGAAATCTCCTACCTTTGCATTCTTGTTATGTACCCATATTTATTGAGAATTAGCCTTAAAACTTGTAGTATACTTGTTACAAACCTCTAAAGCAAATTCACTAACTCAAATAGAGGATTACACTACACGAGCTCACAAAGCGTGCCTGTTGGCTAACAAGATCTCAGAGAACAAACGTTGAGCCTAACCAACGCATAGATTCTAAAGCAAACATGAGAATGGCTAGAAATCACCAAATAAATTGTAACACAACTAAAGTGGTCACTATAATTTTAGACTCACCTGATAGATCCTGGGACAACTGTAGGTGAGCAGTCTTTTACAAGTCATCCCCGTTTGTAAATTTATTAATCCTTTTTTCTTCTTCTATGATCTTCTTACAAAGTCAATGTAATAATAGAGAGCATAAAATACTTTTCTTTCCCATAGCGCTTAACTGGACAGACTTTTATGTCTAAAGATATCTTTCCCAGCTTACTAGTTTTCACCCCTCAAAGATTGAACTTTCACCATTGCTTACTACCATTGGCTAAAATAGTTGTGCTGATTGAGTATTGTGAGTTTGGTTTGGTCCTTTCCTTGCTATCAATATACTTCTTATTGATTTGTTAAATAATAGGTTCATGGATTTGTGCAAGACAACAGAACCGGAGAGAAGGTAGCAATGCTGCTAGGGAAGTGGGATGAAGCAATGTATTATGTGATGGGAGATCCAATTAATAAGCCGAAGGGGTATGATCCAATGACCGAAGCTGTGTTGCTCTGGGAAAGAGATAGATCAATTCCTAAAACGAGATATAATCTCACACCATTTGCCATATCTTTAAATGAAGTCACACCTGATTTAAGAGAGAAGCTTCCACCGACAGACTCAAGGTTGAGACCTGATCAAAGGCATTTAGAGAATGGAGAATATGAGCTGGCGAATTTGGAGAAGCTAAGACTTGAACAATTACAAAGACAGGTACAGTTATATATCTATCTACCAACAAAATTTAACAGGCGGCTAAATATTTTCCAGGAATTGGAATATTAGGCTGTCTTCTGCCAAAAATGCTCTGCAGTTTTCATTTCCGGTTTATCACCCCATTACGAAGATCACATGCCAATTCAGGAGAATGATTTTCAGTAATCTTAGTATCATTTCACGTGCTACTGCCTTCATAATAGAACTTTATTAACAAGCTGGTCTGACATGATATTCATTTGATGTGACATCTCAAAATTGGAACGCCCTGTTTTGAACTGAGATAGTTTGTAGTCCACTTGCAAAGTATTGCATTAGTAAATGATCATCGGAACGTTTTCTTCCCAGCTATTTTGTGCTTTATAGATGTATATTTTCTGTAGCCACATCAGACCATGTTAACATTGGTGTGCCTCCCCTGCTTCTAGCGCATTTTTTAAGGAATCAGAATGCTCGTGAATGATAGCTCTTTAGGTTGATAACTGGATAAAGTAAGCACCCATTTGGCCCCCATTTTTTGAAATGAAAATGGTGGAATAGTGTTTTTTTGAAAAATGAGTGGTCGAAAAAAAAAAGAAAAATTTTTCGGTTTACATGAAATATTATTTTATGGAAGATTTTGTGGTTGAAAATAGGAGTTAGAAAAATGAAATGAAATTTAATGGGGGCCAAACGGGGGTTTAAATTTTATGCAATAGCCAAATGTGTCCAGTGATTCAAGGACAATGACTATCTTAGTCTTAATCTGTTTAAATTATGTTACGTCATTTGAATGCATGATTATAACTAAATAAGTTGGCAGGTGATGTCATATTCCAAAGACTCGCCTGTGCTTCCATTTTCAAGCTACCTTGTTTATTGTAATTCAATTAAGAGTTAAAGTTCTACATAGTGCAGGCAAGGAAGCTGCAAGAGAGAGGCTGGCAACCAAGATGGTTTCGGAAGGATGAGGATGGTTGTTATCGTTATGTGGGTGGATACTGGGAAGCAAGGGAGAAGCAAAATTGGGTAGGAATCCCTGATATATTTGGGCAAGCTTGTGATATGCCTCTTTCTATATCAGAGGAATAAGCCGTTTCTTAGCCAAGTCAGTCGTTCTATCTTGCTTATTTCTACTACTATATGGACCAAAAAATCCTAAGCACGACCTCTATAATATGAAAGGAAGAAGATGGAGCTGAAATTCCAAAGGTGTAATAGCATTTTACCTTGTATTTTTAGATTAAGTTTTCCTTGTGTGAGTTTTTGGTGGCAGCACTTGAGGTTGGATTACTTCCCCATTGGAAAGTCAGATGATTTAAAGGTACTTTGAGGAATCCTGGAGTCGTTTGGAGGAAGATTGCTGCATTTTCATTGGATACAACCCGATGAGTAAGATTCTCGTATTCTAGGCAATGAAAATATTGAGAATTGTACTCAAGTTGTCATGTGCCACAAAAGGTCCTTTTGTTTAATATAGGGATAATTGTAGCTAAGCCCCTAAATCTTTCAAATAGTTGCAGACTTTTCCTTAATCTTTTTGTTTATTGTAGCTATCATACCAGACCTTTCAAACCGTAGCAATTGAGACCTAACCATGCGACATATACAACCGATGTTGACCACCACAAACAAGGGATGGGATCCTCGATAAATAAGAAAATTGTGACCCTTCTTTTGTGAGAAGGTTGTCAACCTTGATTGTATAATTATTAAAATTCACTGAGATCCAAATGGATGGATATTATCCATATTTCTGTTGGTTGACCAGAAAATTGGGTTTGACAAATTTTTTTTCCTAATTTCGAAAGGGTAAAATAGTGATTTTATATTTAACACATTAGACAATTAAAATAATAAAAAAAATGTGAAAGAAACACGAAAGTTCATCTTCTTCCTCCACTTCCACCCCAAATCAAAACCAAAATCATAGCAACCGTCGGTGACTGCCGTTAAAAAAAATAATAAAAAAAAAAAAGAAAAAAAAAAAATATATATATATAATTATAGGGGCGGGGCGGTGGAGGCCATTAAGGTTGGGTTCAACCTTTTAAAAATGAACAAAAATTGCAAAATTCCAACCGTCCCCGTACCGGCTTCGTCATCCACCTCTGCTACCGTATTTTCCTACTTCCGCAGCAGTTCTCCACTCCCTTGGGGCTCCACCTCCGCCTCTTTGTAATTTATCAAAATTATATATTTTCTCTTTATTAATTTTCAGGTTGGGCGGATATTTGAACTTTTGAAAATGTGAAATTAATGGTCGCTTTACCTTTGCTGGCTGATTTTCATTATATTACTCACTTTTCCAGTATTCACTTATATTTAACATTTTTTGTTTTAAGGATTTAAAGTTATTGTTAGATTTTGGTAAAATTCTGCTCGGGTCTGGCATTGTTTTGGTTAAATTAACCACCAAATTGGTTTAATTTTTTGCTGATTTCTTTTATTGTTCGATGAAGACCAGATTTGAAATTGATTTTGTCACTGAGGAAATAAATTGTTCAGAGTTGATTTTTGTCCATGAAACTCAAACATGTTGTACAACATGCTTTAGTGTTTGAAATAGGGTATGGTTGTAATGGAATTAAATTTGGGGATCGTTGCGACAATGGTGAGGTCGGTGGCAAAGACCACAATGACAGTGAGTGGTTTTGATTTTTGGTTGCGGGATGAGAGGTGGCAGCAATGACGGTGGTTTGCAATGGTGGCAATGGGTGAGTGGATGGGAGTAGTGGAGCTGGAACTTTGCGATGGCACCGGCGGTTGTGGATAGTGACTTGATTTTGGTTTTGATTTGGGGTGAGGGGATTGGGTGAAGAAGATGAACTTTTGTTTTCCTTTTTTTGGTTTATTTCTTTAATTATTTCAAACTCAAATTTTTTTGTCAACTAACAAAAATATGGATGGAATTCATCCATTTGGACATCAGCTGCTATGGTGTGAAAGGTTTGGGAGTGATGATTGCAATAAATGAAATGTTAAGGGAAAGTTTGCGTCTGTTTGAAAGGTTTGGAGGTCAGCTGCAATTATCCCTGTAAAATGTGATATGATAATAGTTCTTGTTCTGCTTTCAGTCAAAATTGAGAATGAAAGATATTTGATTGGGAAGCTAATTATAGTAGGCATGTCATTCGTGTTATTGTAGAGTAGAAACTAATGGTTGTTTGGCACGGATTAAAATTTTATTTTAATTTAAATCAAAGTCAAACAATCAATGTTAATACATTTTTTATGAGTTCCACAATTTTTCAACCACACATTTCAAAAATTTCTATCACAATCTATTAAAAAATTTAGAGCCTGCTCGATAGTGATTATTAGGAGAATTGATTTTTTGATCGTTAGAGAGAAAAGTGAGTTCCACCCGTGAATGAAGAAGTCAGATATGACGACTGGAATAGTAAAATAACGATCAAAAAATTGATTTTTTGGGATAAAAAATTGCTACCAAATGGGGGCCTAACTTTAATCCTCATGAATCCCCCTCCAAGATAATTTATTTAAATTGTAATACGATAGGATAGAAATAAAGATATGGAATAAGTTGATAGACGGCCATAGTAAACTTCTTTATTTTGAATTCATAAGTTCACAATTACCCAAATTTCTCCAAATGAAAAATGTCATTTTTCACCCCAAATTTTTTGATTGAAAATTTTTTCATAAAAAATATTTTTTGACTTTTAATCATATGACTATATTTTCCTCAAAAATAAGAAAAGCATTTCTTTAAGGAGGATGATTTTATTTTTCAGGAATTCACTATCTATTTCTTTCTCTTATCTATTACTTTTCTCTCATCTATCCATTAATAAAAAATGGACAAGTATATATATTTTTAGGTTGAAAACTAAATCAATCAATATATTTAATTAATAATTTTCATACAAATAAGTTTAGGTAATTGAATTTACTTTCTTTCCATATAAATTCCATACTCGCAATCAAACGCACCCTAATTTTCATGAAGGAACAATATATATATGAAGTAGTTATAAGATACAATTTTAAAATTATGAAACTTGTTTTAAATTTAAAAAAATCAGGTCGTAATTCAATTTTGTTAATTAAATAAATAAATAGAAATATATTATTAATTGAATAGGTAATTAAATATATTATGATCACAATATTATACAATTTACGATCAAAGTTACTACTAGTCACAATCACAAATCATAAATTTTATAAACCACAAATGATCAATTTAATTGTTTACGATTTATTTTTCGCTCATAAATCACAAATTTTATAAATTGCAACTTCTTTTTCTGCCACAAAATTATTAAATTAATTGGTCACAAATTAATAAATTGTGAGTTACATTACAAATTTATTTGCAATGTCACATTTTTATGTCACATGTTATTTATTGATCATAAATGATCTACTATCTATTTTATCGGTCACATGTTATTTATCAGTCACAATAACCTACGGATGTAAACAAGTCAGGTCGAGTCAAAGTTTACGGCTTGGGCATGACCTGGTAAAATAACTCTTCGAGCTTTTTTTGGCTTGAGCTAAAGCTCGACTAAAAATTTGTGGCTTGGCTCGATTTTTCTCTAAATTGTGGCTGGGTGCAAAAAACAGGCAGCACACTGCACACACCCATTCATGGGCTGGCTTAGGCTCGGATTGTCATCCGAATTCAGCTCGAGCTTTGGCTCGTGTCCATTAAACTACGAGCTGAGTCGGCTTTAGCTTTTTCTCGGGTCGAGTCGCTCGAGTCGATGAGCCAATTTGACATTCCTATAATTACCCAAATAATTGATTATAAACGCTCTTCATCCTACTCCACAAATCCACAATCGTCGCTGCCACAACAACTGACACCACCACCATCAAACCATCCAGTCTTTCCATGATTAACTCCTGATTCAATCTCAAATTCTCCAAAACTGTCAATATTTTTTCCTCCCCAAATACTTGACTTTCTTCTCCCATAACTACCTCAGCTAGACCTTCCATTGTTTGAAAAAACTCAAGCACTGCCGTTAGCCCCCATTTTTTCCTCGTCAGCAGACAAATCTACTTTAGAACCACCTATTTTCCTTCACACCACCACAAGAGCCACCACAAGTCTTCCTCCCGCCAACGGATGAATCTACGCCAGAGCCACCACTTTTTCCTATATGTACACCACCATAAGATCTATCCAAACAATCGCCAAGCACAGCTCCATCGTTGCTATGCACCTAAACTATAAACTATGGGTCACAATTACAAATTTATTGATCACATATTATGTATTGGTCGCAAATTATCTATTTTATTGATCATATATTATTTATTGATCACAAATTAACCATTTATTGATCACATCAACCAAATAATTGATCACAAATGCTCTTTATCCCATTCCACTGCAACTCTACCACCACGACCACCATTAACATAGCACCACAATCACCTCTGCCGCTGCACCATAACCACCACAACCACTAGACCACCTAGTTTTCCATGGTTATTAACTTCTGATTCAATCTCAAATTCTTCAAAACTGCCAATATTTTCTCCTCCACAAATACCTGAAGTTTTTCTCCAACCACCACCTTGGCTAGACCTTCCATCATTTGAAGAAACTTCAGTACTGCTGTTAGTCCCCATTTTTCTTGCCACCAAACGAATCTACTATGGAGCCACATCTTTTTCCATTATTCACACTACCACAAGAGCCACAAGTCTTTCTCTAACCAACAAATAAATATACGTCAGAGCCACCATTTTTCCTATATTCAAACCCACTATGCGTGGTGTAATGTGGTTACGAGCGATGGCCCTTCGTCGTAGCAGTGCTCATCGTCGTTGCTGTGCAACGTAGCTCTTCTGCGTATGGTTGACTAGTGTAGGAGAAGAGAAGTGTGATTTGGAATTCTTAGGGTTTGAATTTGGGTGAGTATGATTTAGAGAGTGGATAGATAATGAATTTAATAATAATATTGTTAGTATTTATGACATTTATTAATTAATAAGTTTTAAACTTGATATTTTTAAGTTGAAAGTTAAAATTTATATATGGATGTAATTTTCACTTTTCTTAATGTAAACAATATATAACTTCTACATATAAGAATTACATCTTGAGACTAATAAACTTATAAAATTATTTCAAAATTCAGACACTAATTCTAATTTACAATATATACTTATCCTAACCCAAATTAATAATATTCCCACGCACTCTAACAAATTAATAATATTTCAATGAATAATATCCTACACCCTCTCCAACCCAGACACCCAACCTATAAAATAATTTCAAAAATTGAAACATTTTTGGGAGATTACATCCCACCCTCAAAACCATCTCCCCAACACCCTAACCTATCCCACCACCCCATTCCTAGAAAATCTTAAGAAATTTAAAATCTTTTCTGGAGATTACACCCGACCCCTGGAACCATCCCTACCTACCCTATAGAAATTTTCCAAGAATTTAAAATGTTTTTATGAAGATTGCACCCCATCCACGAACTTGTGTTTTTTGTGACCATACATGTGTTACATATAACTAATGGTGACAAAGTTT